GTCACTAGCTGACAATGGCGCCCCTCTCAAGGGAGAAGTCGCCCCCTCGAGCGCCATGGCCCCCCCTTTCGCTGATTTCTGGCTACGCCACTGCATACCGGTCCCACTGTTCAGGGGGGGGGGGGGGGGAGGGCTGAGTGGGATGGGGAACGGAAGAACCAGACATATTGTTTGCTCTTGTGTCTACGTTTGGGCCTAATAACAAGAGGCATGATGAGCTATGATATTTCACAGCATTGCCTGACCTCCGAACTTAGCCCGTATCGCCACATTGAACGGCTGATCCGCTCCCATGTCCATTAGGGTGTGTCATATCTAACATTTTTGTCTCAGATCAAGCGCTTCCGCGGATATTCCTTGTCCCTGCGTTCATTGAAGCCCATTGGCACTGTTCTTTTTTCGCTGCACCGAAAATTCAGACGGCGCGGGCCCAATCAATTTCGACATTTCCCGTGGCGCCCGGCGTTGAAGTCTCCATACTGAACGCAATGCGTACCGTAGCGCTAACACCAGCGATATGACTCGCCGTTGGCCTGTAGCGGCCAACACCGTTTGGCGGTTAAAATTCGATTGCTATTTCTTGTTTAAATGGACGTCGGACGAAACATACTGTTATCTTGTGTGTTGAGGCCGTTCAGGGACCCACAGATGATCCCTGTAATAGAATCACGCAGTAGCCTTGGCAAGACTATCCCGGATGGGGGAGGGAGAATGAGAGCACGGATGGACAGAGGGCAACGTGAGCGGGGTTCCGGGTATCACCCCTCCGCCGGCAACACAATGTATCGGCTTTCGAGGCACGTGCTGTCTCCCTGAGGCACACGAGCTTGCGAAGATAGACCGACGGGTCGGCGACCGGCGGAGTAGCGAACGGCGGCGCTGGAGTCCTCATCAAGCACAGAAGAACTGCGAGAGGCGGCGGGGAGGTTATGTTCCAGCTACCGGGCTGAGATGGTGGCGCTCAAGACGGCAGTGCAACATCTCCTGGGACACCCGCCCCTCGAGCGCGACATAATCATCTGCTCCGACTCGCAGGCGTCGCTGGCGACGCTGAGGGGCGGACCAGCGGCCCAGAAGTCCCCCCTAGGTGCCACCATCTGGGAGCATATGGCGGCCCTAGTAGCGGGTGGGAACCGAAGAGTCCACCTCCAATGGGTGCCGTCCCACTGCGAGCTGGAGGGCAATGAGCGGGTGGACGCCATCGCCAAGGAAGCCGCCGCCCTCCCACAGCAGGACGTCCCGGTCGATGTCCGCACAGTGTACCGCGCGGCGTCCCGGATGTCCAGAAAGGAGGCGACCAACAATTGGCCGGACGGCTGGTACAAGCGGCTGATGGACGGCCACCTACCCGCACCGCTACCCAGCACTACACCACGTGAGATAGCAGTCGAGGTGCACCAACTGCGCGCCGGTCACTGGTCGAGATCCGCGCAGTATCTGCATCGGATCGGCTGGAAGCCCGGTCGGGACTGCGCGCAGTGCAGCTCGCTGGAGTGCCGGACGGCTGGCCGTCGCTGCTGCAATGAAGGGGAAGCAGACACGCCGGAACACATTCTGCTCCGCTGCCCGGCACTGATGCGTCTCCGCCTGAGACACCTGGGCAACATACTCCCGAGGGAGGAGGAAGTCCGGAGCAGCGGCGTGGTGGCGGCCCCGGGGGCCGCCGCCAAATATCTCCACAGCTGAGAGGCTACGTAGCGCCTGCTACGTGGGGAAACTGGAAACAACAACAACAACAACAACAACAGCTTGCGAAGAACGTGGGTCAATCTGGTTTCAGCTGCAGCGTGAGCGGAAGTGCGTGTGGCGCAATCGAATCGGACAATCCGTGCCGCAGTGATGTCATTGCGAAGCAAGGCAAAAGTTATCGGGTCTCCCAGTGTGCTGCCGGTAAATCAGCTGCCTACAAACAGAGATGTAGTGAACTGTGTGAGACTCTTGGCAGGGCATAGAAAGAGTGAGCGGACAGTTACTGCATGCACGAAGCAGCGGAAGCGGTGGTTACAATGTGGTCGAGTGAGGGCATACCAAGGATACAAAATACAAATGCATAATGTAGTTCGGAAGGTAAAGTGGGTCTACGAAAGACTTCGCCGATCGAACAAGTTGCCCAAAAGAATGCGGAAGGGACAAACGAAACAAAGTCCTTCTGACGCGAGTCTGTTTCGTAAGCTTTTTGACATCGCCCGCTGCCGCTGTAAAGATCTGCGCAGCTGTACCTGTCCACTTTCAAACCGGGTACCGCCAGCGGAAATAGCATTCCTTCGAGACCAGAGAGGAGTTCGGAAGATGAGACTGGTTGGTGTGGACTACGAGGAGACGGGGAAACGACGTAAGACTGCGAACCTTACACTCAAAACTTTTTTACTACCTCCTGGAGGGTTCATTTTCATCAAACCAGCAAGATAAGAGTATATTGAAAGGGTAACTCTTTGCTACCATTATGTGCATAGTAACGGTACGTGGTTAATATGAACTTATTCACCAGCGAAGAGTATTATTACCATGTAAATATCAATATTACTCTCGCGATCCAGAACATCACGAAAACTCTTTCCTTCTGGGTATCGTGACTCGTGTACAGATAGTCGTTTCATGCGTGGATCTTGTTTACCCTCGTGAAGATGATATTTGAAATGGAATCACTCAGCCAATCAGAAACGAGATCGGCCGTTTGCGGTTTGAAGGCCGCGCGCATCTGTCAGTTTTCGGCCGTTGGTCTCCGAGAGCGGATGTGAGCAGTGTCGGTGCCGCGCGGCGTGGCCGTTGGTGATTGTGCTTGCGTGTTGTTCATCGCCTATAGAGCCTCTGCATGGACATTTTATTGTAAGTACCGATGTGCTAGAGCATTGCATGCCGTTGAGTGGTGCTAATTTGACCTGGTTAACAGGACCCCGTGCACGGCCACGTGGCCTAGGTTGTGAGTACGTACATTAATTTTGTTGTGATGCTACAAGCTTATGCATTTTGTTGGTGACTTCGAAAAAGCCTTGCACTGTAGTGATCCAGTCTCATTATCTCACGCAGACGGGCGACCACCCAGGAACGCCGTCGCTCTCTTCAAATATTGTGCGCTGTGCCTTATCCAATATGAGGGCGCTGAATGTCTTGTATTCACATTCAAAGTGCATTCAAGTTGTATCGTGGTGTTTATTTACCGCTTGTGCATTGCTGAACGCTTCGTATAAATTCGTATGCATAAGTGAAGAGTCTCACAATGTTCATGGCTGGTGTGCCCCTCGTATTGTTTGTACGGAAGCCAAATATACATTGTTGCTCTTGAAGCATGTTTTTTTTAGTTGGTGAGCTCCGGTTAACAGAAGCTTCGTGAAGCTTCTGAAGCAAGCGTCTGTGAGTCTGTTACCATCCTCTGGGGGGTTTACACTAAAGGAAAGAGTAAACATTACCATGTGACAAAGGGTAGGCCAGAAGATAATACTCTCTGTAGGAGGGTAAAGCACAGAGTAGATGATGCGTTACTCCCTAGAAAAGGGTCCCGTTTAAGATTTACCCTTTCAAAGAGTGTAACCCAAAAAATGTTACACTCTAGACAAGAGTAAATCAAAAGAGTTTACCATTCAGAAGATGGTAAAAAACGTCTGTGTGTCATGTTACCCCTCCCTGGCGAGTTTACTCTTCATGAAAGAGTAAAATTTACCATCTGGAAGGTGGTAAAAAACGTCTGTGTGTCAAGCTACCATGCTATGGCGGGTTTACCCTTCAGGAAATGGTAAAAAAGTTTTCAGTGTAGAATGAGACGGGAGCGGAACGAGGGGATGGGCGACGTGAGTCAAGCTGGTCCTTCCCACCCTCGCACCTATTCCAGCAGCGTCAATATCAACGAGACAGGCCAGGTAGACTCACCGGCAACGAATGACACCAACGACAGCAATGAAGTAGCAAAGAAGACAAGTAAATTTGAGATTTTCATAAGTGAATTTAAGATGAAGGAATGCATCAAAGACTCAAACGATGATGATATGACAAACACTGCACTGGCAGCTGACTGACAGGTACGGTTTATCCAACCGTGCTGTAGCGGCCGTCATCAACGGTTTTCAGATGAACATTGGTCGCGTAGTGATAAATAATAACCAAGATTGGCCATTGAAGCGAGGTTGATACATTTACATGTGTTATATAATGGTAAAGATGCATCTTTTCTGTGTAACCGTTGTCTAAAATTAGAGGATACTGCCTCGCTTGCATCGCTTACATCCGTATTGACAGTGTCTGTCGACAACAGGCGAAGACGCGCGCGGCTGGTGTTAGTGTCATCAAACACATTACGCCAAACATGGAGACTGCAACGCCGGGCGCCATGATAAATCCCGAACTTCTTTCAGCCGGCGCCGATCGAATTTTCGATGCATGGAAAAAAGAACTGCACCAATGGGCTTCCATAGACACAGGGACAAGGAAAATCAGCGGAAGCGCCTGATCTGTTTCTAGTGACACACCCTAATGTCCATGCAGCCGGCCAATTGGATCGTGTGACAATTTGGGGGCGGCTCAGCCGACTGGTGCGAGCCACGCCGCCGGTTGTTTAATGTACCATTTTTGAAATCCATTTGACATTTATATCCGATGCCCCCTCCCTGTATGTATGTCCAAGGGAGCTGATAAGCATTGTGCAATATCTTTATTTAAAATGTTTACGACAAATTCAGTGGCATAAAATTCTTAAACAATAATTTTGCATGAGTGAATGCATTTGAAACAATGAAACATTTGCGCAAAACCTGTCCATTAAATACTGAATTTTGAATCGAGCTGACAGCCTACCGTGCGAACAGCCTACCTCCGGTACCGTGCGAACCTGCACCGGAAACCCAGTCTCAGACGGGAGGGCGATGCTGGGTTTTCCTCATATATACAAGTACGGCAAATCCGTGGGACGCAGCCACATTCCATTCCTGATGAGAAATTGATTGATAAATGTCTGTCGCCAGGTAACGATGGGGCCTGAAGTCGCCGCCCTGACCATCCTCTCCCTCCTCTCACGATGGACCGTGGGTGGTCGGGACGGGGTTACCTGGCGGCGAGCCGGGCGTACACAATGACACGCTACCGGGGGTGATATCAGTTCTGCGGCCGTCCCCCCGGTTGGGGCTGACCATGACGGCGCTCCGTCATCCAGGTGTTGACGGCGTCGGTCCACGGCCGGCCGATGGGTCGGCACCCCGCTGTGCCAGACCGGTCACACCAGCTGCCTTTCGGCGTAATTGGAATTCAGACAGCGCGGCGGCTCCCAGGATTACCGTCTGGTCCGCCATGTCAGAGGGACTTGCTTGTCACTTCGTCATCTGTATGGGTAGCATCTATGACTTTACTTATACAGCTGGTGAAGTAACAGACATTAACCCTCGCCCGCACATGGGGGGGGGGGGGCTTGCAACCCCCATGTAGTCTCTCTGCTCTGCACTAACATTTTTAGAGTTAGAGGGCTGATTTTTCGTATAGCTGCTCCTCTATCCTTTCTTGATGTCCACTGAAAATTTCAAGTTTCTGTGGTTTTTTGTTTCGGAGATATGACCTTGTTTTTCAGGTCATGACATGACCCAAATGGCCAATTCTCAACATCTTGCGTTGGCTATGGGCCTTGTGAGCTTTTGACACCTTGATTTCGGCCTTTTTTGCCAGTCTTACCTCCCACCTATCATGGAACATGTTGTTCGACGATGTACAGATGTCAAGGTCAGGGTCAAGGTCAACCTAGGTCATCTAAAATAATTGCGTTTTAGGCAAGCGGAATTTGCATTTCGTGAAGTTTTTTGACTGCATTTTTGGTAAAAGCTTCTCAGATCATGATTTCATGTAATATGGACACATAAACAATCGGTGCACACATCAGTACTCACAGACACACACAGACATACAAACACATATAATTGACCTTGACCTAACTTGGCCTGAAATGACCTCAGCAGCAAAAACCTGGTCGGGTAGTGTGACAAAGATGTTCTAGCTGGCTTGGCACCAGAAAACGGCATCGTAATCGGTATATGATAAGCAGCGCACTTGATATCCGACGGTGACCCAAAACAGCAACATTTTTTAGTTTGACCTGACCTGGAAGGTCAATGACTGACCTGAGAAGGTAAAACTGGGTATCATTGGATTTGTCTCTTCCCAAAGAATCTTTTTGGTTTTTACCTCTAAGCTCTATCTCCAACAGGAACGAAATGGCGCAGGGGGGGGGTGGCACCCCCCCCCCCCCATGTGCGTTCTAGGATGGGAAAATGGCATGTGCGGGCGAGGGTTAAACTGTCGGAAACAGCTGAGTACTGCTTGCAAGATAACTGACAAGTTCTATGCCATATTTCTATTTCAAATATATTAAAAAGATCGTTATAGATGCAAGATGCTAAAACAGTAAAAGCAACTTAGTGACAGCGTTTTGAATCACAATGTGGCATTCTGCGCAGCATCTGTCTACCTCCACTGTAAAGACAATTCATAGCCTTTTCAAAATAGCCGTGAATGTGTACCGTGATTCTGCAATACGCTACAACCGCACACGCGGCTGCTACAAGGGCATTTTCATCCCTCACATAACTTGATTTGTAAAATGTTGGTACATCCTAGGAACCAGTCATGAAAACGGCTATCAATGATTAGGTAGGTGTGCTTAATCAATTAAACAAAAAAAAAACATAAATGGCCTAAGGGATTGTAAACAATGATAATCCGTCAGCATGTAACAAATTGTTGAAAGCCAAGGAACCTTGGCTGAGTGACAAGGCAAAAAGTTTCTAATGTTACGCAAGGCCATTATTTTCCATACAGTTTAGTTAATTCGCAACCTGTGTCATGCTTTATGAAATCGGTTGCCCTGGTCATGTCGGTTACTTCACCTATAGACTTAAACAACAGGCACATGCACCTTTCAAATCAGCGACACATGGCGCGGATCAGATGTTGGCCGGGTCGTGGGTACAGGGACCCGCAGTTGCTTCTGTACACACTAGTATTTCGGAGTTTTCTTGGCCTGTGACACCGTTGGAGGCGAATTGGGAAATGATTGTGTGCTTATTAAAACCACCATATGAAGGGCTTTAAACTGGTGTGCTGCTCTCCTAATTCAGTGAACTTTTTACGGCTATATCAGCAAAACATTGTTTTCAGCGCTTTTTCCTGCCCCATTCCTTCTGAAACCTGGAACCGCTTATTCCATTCACTCCTGCCATCTGACGATGGTCGTGCTGATTACTAGTTCCGGCGCTAGTTACTGCTCCAGTTTTGCACCCGGCACAAACTCAGGCGGCACCGTGGCTCGACCAGTGAGGGTCGGACCGAGCCAACTGCCTGGGGCGCGGTTAAATCGGACGCCCTGCTGGGGAAGGGGACGGGAGTGAGGGGGAGGGGAGGAGGTGGTCACGTGATCCGTCCAAGCTCGCAGACGACCTGTCCCGCGCCCAGCCATGTTCCGTGATCCAAAATGGCACGAGAGCTGTGGAATGCCTGGAGGAGACGCTTCGAAAGCGAACTTCAGTAGCATTAACCCGCGCGGGGCTGGGGTCTCCAGCCGAACGCGCGGGGCTGGGGGGGGGGGTAAATTTTACCCCCCTGTTATCTCCCGAACTAATGGTCCGATTTGGAAAATTCAAACGCCAATCGAAAGATCTCATCACGAACAACTAAAAACATGTACTTAATTTTAAGTTTGAGGTCAAGGTCAAGGTCAGGTCAAGGGTACAAATTGCAAGTTCCTACAGTATGGGCCTTGCACCGTAGTTGCCGAAGAATGGAGTCATGGACTGAGACTGATCGCCCAAAACGTGTTCTTAGGCTACCAAGACAATATTCGTTGCATACAATATCATTCAGAGGTCAAGGTCAAGGTCAGGTCAGGTCAGGTCAGGTCACCAAAAACAAAATATAGAAAAGGGCATGTGCGACACATGTTTTATGCGTCATTTTACTCATAGAATTCAATAGGCACACTCAATAAGTGATATGGACCACCTCTGGATGAATTTCAGGCCGAGGTAAGGTCAAGGTCAGGTCAAGTGAGGTCAAATTTTGAAGTTGGTTGTTAAGGCCTAAAAAGGTGTCTATCTGATGCAGTTTTTCACGGCGAATCGAATGGTGCTATTTTTGTTTCCGTACGAGGTCTAGAACTTCCAAAAAAGTCATTTTTCAAAAAATTTGAGTGTCGTGACGTCATATAATTTTGAATAACTCCCACATTTTTGAACCGATTCTTCTAAAACTTGGTGTGTAGGTGCACATAGACCAATTCTCTGACATATATTCCGGTTTTTTCGATACACTCAAAATTTTGGATTTTATAGCTATTTTCCCAAAAAAGTCAGTTTTTTTAAAAAATTTGGGCCAAAATCCAAAATTTCGAAAAAACCGAGATAGCCATTTGATAGACAAAGTAGAAATACGTATATCTTTTTTGTTACGTCTTGATTCCTTTAAAAATGAAGATGTTAGCGGCGTTTGAACTTTTGCCGTTTTTGAGGCGAAAATGGCGAACATGACGTCACTAAAACGTCAATTTCTCAAAAATTTTCCGACGGATTTCGCTCAAATTTTCAGGGAACGTGTCAAATTGATGTAAGAAAAGGTACTGAAAGTTTGGCGGCGCTGCGCGCCGCCGTTTTTGAGATATCGCAAAAATTCGCGAGGGGGGGGTAAAATTTACCCCCCCCCCAGCCCCGCGCGGGTTAATTTACCATATTCTGTGGAGATAAATGGAGAAAAAAATTGTATGCGTAAGCTGTATAAGCTGTATCTTTTTAAAAGCTGTAAATAGGATTATTTTTAGGGAATTATAGGTTTCGTATACACAGTGAATTGTGTTACATTAAGCCGTCTCGCTCTTATGGTTACTAACTGAAGAGTTATCCTTTGTTCTCACAGGGAATGACAATACAATAACAATACGAATATGACCAGACGTTTCGCACAAAAAAGTGCCTCCGTCAGTGGCAAGAAATAAGTAACTAGGCACACATGTTTTCTTTCGATTAAAGCGATGAAGTAGTTATCTTTATTTTTCTAAGATATATTTTCAGCAGTTTTTTAAGCACATCATGGAAGCTTATAAACATTTGTGTATTTTATCGGCAACCCGGCTGGCCAGACCGAGACGGTGCCGCATAAAGTTCTCATCGATGTTAAACCTACACTTATTTTTCTCCACTGACGAAGGCACGTTGTTGTCCGAACCGTTGGGTTTTATTCGCATTGTTTTTTATATTGTCATTGCCCGTGAGAAAAACATACTCATATGGACTGGTCTCAGTTCATGTAGAAATTGTTGCACATTCATCACCGCAGATAAAATGAATATTAACCCTCACCACACATATAAATAGAGGCAAGTAGACCGCACCCCCTGTTTTTTTCACCAATAAATCGCGTCAAAGCGAAGGATTGCGACGATTCTTTGGTGCCCTGGAGTTAATCAATTTTTAAACTTCCCGGAAAATTAAACAGCCCTGATCATTTTTGCATCTTCTCCGATAATTTTAACTCCCTGGACCAAATTACCTTTAACCTGTGATTATTTTCTTCTGTGATTATTACCTTTATAGATCATGTCAGGCCAGAATAGCAATCGAAAGTCAGCACACATCTTCTGTGTTTCCATAGTCGTTTCGTGATTAGGGACGTGACAACATGTGAAATATACTATCTAATGTTTGTCTCATTGATTGTTGTGGGTGCCAAGGTCACGTGAAACTCAGGTTAACCCTCGCCCGCACATGCCATTTTCCCATCCTAGAACGCACATGGGGGGGGGGGTTGCCACCCCTCCCCCCGCGCCATTTCGTTCCTGTTGGAGATACAGCTTAGCGGTAAGACCAAAAAGATTCTTTGGGAAGAGACGAATCCAATGATATCCAGTTTTACCTTCTCAGGTCAGTCATTGACCTTCCAGGTCAGGTCAAACTAAAAAATGCTGCTGTTTTGGGTCACCGTTGGATATCAAGTGCGCTGCTTATCATATACCGATGACGATGCTGTTTTCTGGTGCCAAGCCAGCTAGAACCTCTTTGTCACACTACCAGACCAGATTTTTGCTGCTGAGGTCATTTCAGGTCAAGCTAGGTCAAGGTTAACTATATGTGTTTGTATGTCTGTGTGTGTCTGTGCGTATACTGATGTGTGCACCGAATGTTTATGTGTTCATATTATATGAAATCATGATCTGAAAAGCTTTTATCAAAAATGCTTGCCTAAAACGCAATTATTTTAGATGACCTAGGTTGACCTTGACCCTGACCTTGACATCTGTACATCGTCGAACAACATGTTCCATGATAGGTTGGAGGTAAGACTGACAAAAAAGCCGAAATCAAGGTGTCAAAAGCTCACAAGGCCCATGGCAAACGCAAGATGTTGAGAATTGGCCATTTGGGTCATGACATGACCTGAAAAACAAGGTCATATCTCCGAAACCAAAAATCACAGAAACCTGAAATTTTTAGTGGACATCACTATCAGGAAAGGATAGAGGAGCAGCTATACGAAAAATCAGCCTTCTAGCTCTAAAAATGTTGAGTGCAGAGCCGAAAGACTACCTGGGGGGGGGGGGGTGGCAACCACCCCCCCCCCCCATGTGCGGGCGAGGGTTAAGTTCATTTACTTGAAATGATCTCGGCTAACTTCCTTAGATTTACACCTCTTTACTGTGGTTTTTAGGAAGTGTTGGCATGAAATTTAGCACCCATTTTAGCATTTGAAAACTAGGCATACTTTGGTATCAGTTATAGTGCCTATGCAATATGTTGCAAGGCTGTAGTTAACATTCTTTGGATAGCCGGCAGAACGCCTAATGGGTGATCTGGCGTAACCCGTCCTACCCCAAATGCTTTGATACATCATCTTTAATCAAAGCAAGTGCAAATTCGGAGTCAGAAGCAAGCCAAATCCCAGCAAACTTCACTTGTAGAAATTCTAGCAGGACCCAATTTTCCGTGCTTTTGGGTTATTAACCTGATCTGGGAGGTCAACCAATGACCTAGGATCTCAACATTGACCAGGACATAAAAATAATTGGCTTTCTCTCGCCAGCGATGACCGACCAGGACCCTCAAATCATCGGATTTCTCTCGTCACGAGCAGTTCGCTCTTTTTTTTCAGCGAAGCTCTGGTTCTTTTCATCAAGGGCCGAATGGCTGAGGGTTTCTACGCCCCTTGCCACATGTAAGACGCTGAAAAGAAATGCCTAAATGGGCGAGGGTAAAATATCGATTGTTTTTTTTTTTTTAAGTGCCGAAGCCCGAAGCACTTTAATTTACTTCGATAGCAGTTTTTAAGACCAACGAGCTCGAATACTATAACTTCTTGAACAATGTAAGCACCAGATAAAATGAATCGTGAGAGAAGCGGCTCAAGATTAACCCGCGCCCTGGTGGGGTCTGTTTATACCGCGAGCTGGTGGGGGGGGGACTATTTTTTGCCCCCCCCCCTCGTATCTCCGAAACTACTGGACGGATCCGCAAAATTCAAACGGCGTTCGAAAGGCCTGTCAAATTTGTCGAAGGAAACCAAATTTCATTGACCTCGGGGTCACCGATGACGTCACAGGTCAGGTCAAAGATAAAATGTTTCACCGTTCACGGGTCTTCTAGGGAATGCGCTATAACACCGAGGAAAACGCATTTTGTCGAGAATCAGCGGTAGGGCGTCAGTTGCCTAGTAGATATGTTGCTATTAGAGGTCACTGGCAATACCAGGTCAGGTCACAGGTCAGGTCACCAAGGGTCACAGGTCAGGTCACATGAGCCCAACTTTACTAAGGTTGTGTGATGCATGTTTTATGGCCATTTTTTCATTTCCAACTCAATGGTGTTGGTTATAAGACTATCAGGTACGGCTTAGGTCACTTTCTGGTGAAGTTCAGGTCAAGGTCAGGTCAAGGTCAGGCCAAAAAAGGTCAAATTTTAAAGTTGATAGTTTTGCATAAAATGGGTATTGAATCGATGCAGCTCGTCACGTCGTCACGGGGAGTCTAATGGTGGTCTTTGTTTTGCGCTACGGGGTCTAAAATTGCTAAAAATTGAGTTTGAAAATTTGATGATCAATTTTGAACAGTTTTTTTTTCGCTATAACTTCGCCAAAAAAAGAGGTATCAATCTCAAATTTGGTATGTGGATGGAAGGCGGTAAGGACTATCACATATATTCCGGTTTTTACGAAATTCAAAAAACTTTTTGGATTTTTCGATTAATATATCCAAAAATCTATTTTTTGATTTTTGGGGGTCAAAATCCAAAAATTTCAAAAATCCGAGATAGCTGTTTTGTAGCCCTGTCCAATATACAGCTTTTATGTTTTATCATTTTTCTGTATTTGCAAAGCTATAGGCCTGACAGCTCTTCCCGCGAAACCCTTTTTTGGGTCGAAAACGGCAGAACATGACGTCACTCTGACGTCATTTCCGGCCAACCTATCATAGGCTTTGGAAACATTTTTGGTCATAATGTGTAAAATTGATGTCCGGGAGGGTACTGAAAGTTTGGTGACGATCGGCGCAGCGGTTCTGGAGATATATCGAAAAGTCTGGAGGGGGCAAAAAATAGCCCCCCCCCCCCACCAGGGCGCGGGTTAAGGAGCTATGAGACACTTAATAAAAAAACGGCATAGATTAGAAACTGCACCTAACTTGCACTGCACTGATGTTAGTTGTCGGACTTTCGTCCCCGTCTTGAGTTGAGATGTTAGTTTCACAACGTTTCGGCCAGTTACTTCTCCGGCCGTCGTCAGGTGTTCTTTGGCCCTTAGAAGGACCTGGATGTTGGTGGCGTTGCGCCGTACGCGTCATACCGTTCGAAAGCTCCTGTAGTCAGCGGGAATCGAACTCGGGTTTCCCCGGTGATAGTCCACGGTTCCAACCACTCCACTATCGAGGCAGACATCGTTATGGAGCTGGAAACTTGGTGTCATTTATCCCCCAGATGTTTTTGTGATTTCCTTAGTAGTGGGAGCCATATTGGGCTGATGTCAACGCTTGGCTTGCTGATGGGGTTGCTAGCCAGCGCCATGTGTGCGGCTTCCTTGATTTTTCTGATTTTCCAGTGTGGCTCCTTGTCGATGATGGTGGTATCATCCCAAGCAGGTCTGTGATCTCCTTCAGACCATGCATGCTCCGCCACACCGGATTTCAGTGTTTCGCCACGGATGGTGGCCTTCCTGTGTTCTTCGAGCCTGACCGCCAGTGGGCGGCCAGTCTCGCCCTTGTATGACCTGCCGCAGCTGCACGGGATGTCGTATATGCAGTTCTTTGTTTGCTCCTTGGTGGTTGGCGGTCTGACCTTTGTGAGTGACCTGCGGAGGGTGGTGGTACTTCTGAACACCGTCCTGATGTTGTATGCTCCGCAGATTCGCCTTAGCTTCTCTGACAGTCCTCTGTTGTATGGGAGGGATACTGTCGCGATTGGCTTATCCCTTGGTTGTTGTTGGGATGCTTCCTTGGGTTTGTGTTTCATGAAGCTCGTTGGGTATCCGTTTCTCCTGAAGGTGCTGGTAAGGCGTGACATTTCCATCTTTCTGGCTGCTTCGTCTCCACAGATGTTGGTGGCTCGGGTCTGCAGGCATCTTACGATACCTTTCTTGACTGTGTCTGGGTGGTGTGACTTGAAGTTGAGGTAGCGGTCGGTCGCTGTTGGTTTGCGGTAGACCGATGTTCTGAATGCTTCCTCAGATTTCTCCACTTGGACGTCAAGGAATGGTAGTTTGTTGTCGACTTCTGTTTCCATTGTGAATTGGATGGAGGGTCGGAGGCTGTTGAGGTGGTCTAGGAACGGTGTTATGTCCTCGCGATGGTCCCACAGGACGAATGTGTCGTCGACATATCGCAGCCACAGGGATGGTTTCAGTGGTGCTGTTTGTAAGGCCAGTTCCTCGAAGTGTTCCATGTAGATGTTGGCGATCACCGGTGACAGGGGTGAACCCATGGCCATTCCTTCAGTTTGTTGGTAGTAGTCATCGCCCAGTTGGAAGGCGGTGGTGGTGACACAGAATGTCAGGAGTTCCATGATGTCATCAGTCGGGATTGTCGTTCTTTCGGGCAGTGTATCGTCGCTCTCCAGTCTTGTCCTCACTATGCTCAGAGCTTCGGTAGTGGGCACATTGGTGAACAGACTCACCACATCGAAGCTTACCATTTGCATGTTCGGCGAAGGTCGCATGGCCTGAACCAGTGAGACGAAGTGGGCTGAGTTCTTGACATATGTAGGTGTTTTGCCACTCAGTGGGTTGATGATCTTGACGAGGAACTGGCTCAGAGGATGGCAGGCTGAGCCACGGCAGCTTACTATTGGTCTTAGCGGTACATTGGTCTTGTGTACCTTTGGCAGCCCGTACATGTGTGGAAGTTTGCTGTGATGTTGGCTCAGCTTTCTGTACTGGGCGTCCGTGAGTTGTTCCTTGTCCTTGTTCTTCTTAAGGAGCTTTGTTAGTTTGCGTTCGCAGGCCGGGGTTGGGTCTTTCTTCAGTTTGGTGTACGATCCATCTGTCACAATGCTGTTCATCTTGTGGTCGTATTCCTTCTTGTCCATGACAACGGTGGTGTTTCCTTTGTCTGCTGGAAGTATGATGATGCTGCCGTCTTGTTTGAGGTTGTTGATTGCTGCCAGTTCCTCTTTGGTGGTATTGGCCTTTGGCGGTTTGGCCCTTTCCAATGCATGCCTGACTTTCCAGCGTAGTTCTTCTGCATGTTCTCTGTTAATGTGGGATGTTGCTTCCTCGATTGGGGCCACGATGTCCATGTTGTTTATCCGCTTGGTGGATGTTGCGAAGTTGAGTCCCTTGTTGAGTATGGTCTCTTCAGATGCCGACAGTTGTCGCTTGCTGAGGTTCACTACAGCTCTGATGGGCTGTAACGGAGTCCTGGTAGGTGCGATCTTCTTCAGTTTTTCGAGTTTTGTCATATGCTGCTTCTTTGTGGCATGGTCCACGATGGTATGTGACCTGATGACTGATGATTTGATGCGGTTGAAGTCGTCGGAGCATGTTACTTTTGATCGGATGGTTTCTTCGATGGCAGATATTGATTGTTCGAGTTTCGCTTTGCTGTGTCGATGGAAGGCGATCCTTTCTCTTATGAGAGCTCGGCTGGCTTTCTCTCCGATTCGTCTCGCTTGTTTGGTGTACACAGGTGTCTTTAGTCTCAGTCCATTAGGGATGATGTCGTTATCCCGGCATCTGCACATGAATGTCAGATGGTTCTTCTCTTTTGCTAGCTTGATGTTCAGCTTCTCCCATTTTCGCCAGTTGTTCACTGTTTCGGGTCCGTACCGATCAGATATAGTTCTTCTGAATGCTTGAGACGAGGTGTTAGTATCACTGATGTTAGTTGTCGGACTTTCATACAAGGGCGAGACTGGCCGCCCACTGGCGGTCAGGCTCGAAGAACACAGGAAGGCCACCATCCGTGGCGAAACACTGAAATCCGGTGTGGCGGAGCATGCATGGTCTGAAGGAGATCACAGACCTGCTTGGGATGATACCACCATCATCGACAAGGAGCCACACTGGAAAATCAGAAAAATCAAGGAAGCCGCACACATGGCGCTGGCTAGCAACCCCATCAGCAAGCCAAGCGTTGACATCAGCCCAATATGGCTCCCACTACTAAGGAAATCACAAAAACATCTGGGGGATAAATGACACCAAGTTTCCAGCTCCATAACGATGTCTGCCTCGATAGTGGAGTGGTTAGAACCGTGGACTATCACCGGGGAAACCCGAGTTCGATTCCCGCTGACTACAGGAGCTTTCGAACGGTATGACGCGTACGGCGCAACGCCACCAACATCCAGGTCCTTCTAAGGGCCAAAGAACACCTGACGACGGCCGGAGAAGTAACTGGCCGAAACGTTGTGAAACTAACATCTCAACTCAAGACGGGGACGAAAGTCCGACAACTAACATCAGTGATACTAACACCTCGTCTCAAGCATTCAGAAGAACTAACTTGCACTGGTTTTTAAACCTTTTCGTTGCAGACTGGTAGATTAAATTTTAGGATTGATTTCAGCTGATGCTCAAATGATGTAGAGCTATTCATTCGTTCATTCATGCGACCATCCATTCATAAAAGAAGACAGTGATAAAATTGTTCATTTTAGATAAGCGTGAAATACAAACTCAATAAAAGTTTAATGACACGGAAAATTTGACAGCTTTTATAATGAATGGACATTCCATTTCAACCATGAATGGAATGGGCTCCAATGGAGAAACGATCTTCAGTCATATACTAAATAACTTTAACAAATCAAAGTTGGGAGCCCCAAATACGTAACACAGTTGAGGGCATTTTAGGCCATCACAGTATTTGTCAACAATTGTTGTTGGGGGGACTGGGGAGGGTGGTTGGCGGCTCATAAACTGTCCCCCCCCCCTAAAAAAACGAAACCGATCATCCGCGAAAAGAACTATTTAGCTCGAACCGAGGTGACGAATCGATTTATAGGTATGCAGGATGACTAACGATGCCACTTTTTGACTTCTTGTGTCGAATAAATTCCGTCATCTGGATAGCACGTCAACATTATATTTGACATTTTGCAACAAACGTATACTATTTGGCGCGACTAGCCTCAGAAATGTTCTGAAACTAAAACCGTTTCTTCGCACTTAACTTGGCCCACGTCATCCCAGCTAATGCATGATAAAAATAAAATAATGCTTCAGGATCACTGGCCTGAATTCCAATGCATAAGGTTTACTCAAAACGGTGTGGCTGAGGCACTATTCGTTACATCTCGTGATGGCCACCATTGTGTTGCATTTTTCGGTAAGCTATAAGTTAATAAGGAAAGGATTGGTGAATGGGTTGAAAACAGCCCTCACCCTCCACCCCCCCCCCTTCTTCTGGAAACATAAGTAACCGAAAGATCTGGCGATGGTTTATCCACCTCCTCTGCCGCCGCGCTGCGAGGCCTCGATTCGTTCGGTATGTGGATTCCTGAGCGGTCCTCCCCGGAGGCAAGGTGAAAGGTCATGGCCTGTATCAGAAATTTATACGTTGCTGAATATGTTTTATAGTTCTTCCAAGGCCTTGGACACCGTTTTATTATATCTGATAAGCATTTCACTTTCTTGTCAATCAATACATTTAAAGAAAACTTTATCATAATCTCATACTGCGGCAATTGTAGTTCTGCTTACGGTTGCCTCTTTATGATACGGACCACCACCACCTCCACTGCGCTGGAGCTCTGGCGTTCTACCCCTCCCCGCTACGGACCGGCCCTCGGGCTAGGTGTGTTAGTACTGAGCGCAAACGTGTAGTAGTCACGTGACTTTCATTCACGTAGAGGGAACGGAAGCTATAGGCGATACCAAGGACGGGCTCTGGGGAGGCAACCGGCACGGAAAAATAGCACGATTGTAGTTTTGGAAGAATATCTGTTGCGGTATGAGGAATTATACAAAACATACGTCCTAGGAGCAAACATGTGTTATTCCTCCATACTTTGCGCTACATTTCCTTTCTCCAATGGCCAGCACTTAGCAAATAATAGCACAATTCTAAATTGGTAATATATGTGTACAGTAGCAACTGCGGGTCCCTGTACCGTTGTGTCACGTATTAGCACCGTTATGGACCGATGGATGTCGTGCGGGGTGGAGCCTGTGCCGCATCTGGACCCTAGTTGGCCGCCTGGGGACAGACACCTGTCGCGACTCACCGTGTAGTAAAGGGGAGGGGGCGGAGCATCTGCCTCGCCCTGGCTAACTGATTGGCTAATACCCATTTACCATCATTAATTTATAATGTTAGACACTGTAAAGGGCTTCACAGTGCCCGAAGAACTTCCGCGGCAGAAAGGTATGGTGTTCTGTTTGTCGGTGCGGGTTGTTGGGTATGTGTGTCCAATGATAACGCTTTGTGTAGCCTGGGCTACGTGATCAGATTTATAGACTGCTTCTATCTGTGGAAGTTCGCTAAATAAGTTATTCAATTTGGATATGCTTGACGTGCACATTCAGTGACCGTATATGCTAGAATGTAAAGGATATTTGTAAGTGTCCAAGTTGTACGTTTTATTACCGGTTAAAGGCATTTACCGCATTTAAAGGCACTCAATTCCTTATGACCTGGGACAGACTAGACCGTGAACATAAAAACTATGCGTAATCCTTGCTGAATACCACTGAAAGCTGTGCCACTATTTTCTGTTCCGTACTTTATTCCTGCTCACAACTGTCTACTGACGGCAGCCGCTCCCCGAAGCGTGTCGCAGCCAGTCACGGGCTGCGGCGGCCGTTTTAGCGGTTCCTCCGTCCTGTTGCATGTACTGGCTATCCATCAGCCGGACATCACCTTCCAGTTCCGTCTTTAGCGCCGTCCAGAGCCTAAATAGCACTGCTGATTGGGCGTTCATTGTCTCACTCCCGCCCGCCTTAATTTCAAACCAAAATTGATCAAATATCGCGTCATTCCAAGTGTCCTCCGGACTCATTACTGATCATTTCTTGCCTTGGACAGGTGTGCAACGCTTCCCTGTGTTGAAATTGTCCACAACATCCTATAATTACAGTTATTGATGGAGCTTCATATCCGAAGGTTGGGACTTTTCAATTAAGACAATCACTATTCTTTACGATTCTAAAGCTCTCTAAATTTCCTGCCGGCCTCCAAAACATATTTCGAATTGAATTGTAAATGTAGCTTATTGCTCGCACGTCTTTTTTCGTATGACTACACTTTTGAAAGCGAAGAAAACTAGCCGCAAAAAAAAAAACACCAAACTGGCTTTCATCTGTTGGAGTTACTTCCTTGATATAATAATTTTAAGATTTTTATAGAAATTATAAATCCGTGCATTTTTTTTTTTTGGGGGGGGGGGAACTCCCGGTACGTACATACATCCATTTTTGATAGCATAGGCACGAATCCCCTACCCCGCAATGTCGCTTTAAATGCCTCAAGGGCGGATCCAGCCGGCCGTCTTGGGGGGGGGGGGGGCAACCGGTTGGGACTAGCCAAACCTAGGGTACCCCCAAATTTAGTTTTCTCACCGGTTTTAGGCCACTTATTTTTCACCCATCGCCTTTTCATTGAAAAAAAAAACGAAACGAAATCATTTGCAAAAAGTGAGATATTTTGTCTCAGCTGAGTCAAGGAACTACCTTTTTGGTAACGTAAAATAAAGGCTTAAATCTTCCACATGAGCTGTCAAGCCAGGTAAAGAGGGGTATTTTTTTCTTAAATGTTTTCTTCCCTTTAGTTTTCCTTTGTGACCCACAACCGCTAATTCAGGGAGGGCAAGCTGCCCCGACGGTTCCTAGCCCTATGAAAAGTTGTGGGGCAGCGCCCCCACGGCCCCAGAGTTGTGGGGGCACTGCAGGCTGCCCTCACTGACCCCCAGCTCCCGCTCCCATGACCACAAAGTTCAGGCCCATGGCCCGGCGTCGAGCTCAAATTCAGACTCGGCAATGTTGATGGTGTGTCCGAGTTCAGACAAGCTGAGCTTATGCTGGATTCAGCTAGGACGATTGAAGAGGTATCCTGTTGGGCTAAATGCCGGACAATCTGAAGCTCTAATTTTGCATTTAATGCTTAATTATCCTACTATGTTGAGTGAAAACCAAGTGAAAACTACCCATGTGTCATTAAGTATAACTTCAAATAGTGGGTTTAGTTAGTGACATATGGTGGAGCATTAGGGGTTTTAGGGGGGTGCACATGCACCCCCTAACTGAAAAAAGCACCTTCTCAAAATGACGCTTGAAACACTTCAAAAACAAGTACAGGTAAGGGGAAATTGTGTCTTCCTCTGTTAACCCTCGCCCGTATAGGGGAAGGGGTCGAACAGACCCCACCCCCTCGGTTTTTCGCGAATAACTCGCGTAAAAACGGCTAATCGCGACGAAACTTTCAGTACCCTCGATTTAATCAATTTTGCATCTACCCCAAAACTTTAATTACCCTGACCCAGATGACCTTTGACCTGTGACCTATTTCTCGAGGCCATGCTTGGCCGGGATCGCGATTCGGCGTATGTTGGCTCGCATTAGCCGCGCGTTTGCAGTCTTTTCGTGGTTTCAAGCGTTCAAACATGTGATCCCATGTTGGTCAAACATGTTGGTCCCATGCATTTGGATAGGTGTGAAGGTCACCTGAAGGTCAGGTCAGGTCATTGACCTTTGATGACCTCAGTTCACTTTTTCGAGTTTTACATGTTTCTAGGCTAGTTTTTGGAGCTGAACTCGAATTCAGCAACCATTTGAACATTTACGAAGTACTTTTGGTGCCTTCGTAACATGTTACGAAGCTGTCAGAGGCGGTTGACAGTGACACGTACTACGAATACCCGGCAGGACCACTACTGGTTGACCTAACCCGACCTGGCCTAAATGCATGAAGACATCTTCTAGGATCAACACTATCACGATATTGGTGATCAGCACCCCGAAAAAGCTCAGCCACACTTACGACGCTCTAACAAGTCCCAATTTTCCCGACTTTTGGGTCATTGACCTGACCTGGAAGGTCAGGTCAATGAGGTCAACCATGAACCAATGACCTAGGACCTTAAATTGGGTATCATCGTCTTCCTCTCGTCACAGGCAGCACGCTCGTTTTTTCGCGAAGCTCTAGCTTGATCAGCGGCCAAACGGCAATGGGGGCAACGGACCCCCCTCCCATACGTTCGCGGCTGACAAAACGCCAATACGGGAGAGGTTTAAATTCATATACCTTCAGGTATGAGACAAGAAAGCTACTGTTTAATAGTGTTAATGAACTATGAAGAAGCTTCAGCTATTAAAAAGCTTCTGAAATTTCTCAAGCTTAAGTTGATTATACTCAGTGTTGTTATCATCATTCCTTAGTTTTCTGACAAGAATCACACATTTGGCCATGGTAAACGTTAAAAATACATTTTTCTTTAAAAAAGTGCCCAATGACAATCTTATTTTCCAACAAATTTGCAATCAAAACCAACCAGTACACAATACAGAATACGTGCCTATGAATGCGAATAACAAGGTGATATCATGTCGATTTCTCCTACATGTTAATAACCCTCGCCGGCACAGGCCATTTTGACTCTGGTTGGCAGAGTTTTTCACGTTTGCCCCAAGGTCACTCAATTATCAAAGCAATATTTCAGTTTTTCAGCATAGGAACTTTGAGAATGTTTATTTTTTAGTTTTCTTGACTTATGTCCTGGGGGGGGGGGGGCAAAAGATAGTATGGCCCCCCTTTGACCGTCTTGGGGGGGGGGCATGGCCCCGTTGGCCCCCCTTGGATCCGCCCCTGAAATGCCTAGGTACCATCATATGTCTAATGAAGCGTTTTAATTGACAGGGATGGAGGGCAGGGGCGGACAGTCCCATCCGCGGGCCGGCGAGGCCTGGCTGAGGAAATACCGCTCAGCTAAGCGAGCTGAGCAGGGCCTCGCCGACCCCAGGGTGGCTGGATCCGCCCTAAGTCCCCCCAAAAAAGCCCTCAAGCGGCCCATGTCGCCGTCGCCTCTGCCAGCCGCCGCCTACGGGGAGGCCCCGACAAGGCAGCCCCACCAGAAGCGACCGCGCGCAGCCCCACCAGCGCGTCGGTCGACGGTCCCCGGTCCCGCTCACAGCCCCAGCCTCAGCCCATCGAGGAGGGCAGCGGCCGCCTATCTGGCTCTAGCCAGAAACAAGCATAGGCGGGTGCAGCTGGCAGCTACGTAACAGCTCCAGCTGCCGACCGGGGACCGGGAGAGGTGGCGGCGGCAGCGGCAGCAGGAGCCGGACCGGAAGCCGCAGCCACAGCCAGAGCTGCAGCCGGAGCCGACGCTGCAGCCGGAGCCGACGCTGCAGCCGGAGCTGGAGCAGGAACCGGAGCCGGAGCCGGAGCTGGAGCAGGAACCGGAGTCAGAGCCCGAGCCGGAGCCAGAGCCGAAGCCGTTGCCGGAGCCGGAGCAAGAGCCGGGGCCGGAGCAGGGACGGAAGCCAGAACTAGAGCCAGAGCCGGAGCCGGAGACAGATCCGGGGCCGGAGCTGGGACAAGAGTCGGAGCAGGCGCAGGTGCCGGAGCCAGAGCCAGAGCCGGAGCCGGAGCCGGAGCCGGAGCTGGGGCGGAAGCCGGAGACGGAGCTGGGACAAGAGTCGGAGCCGGAGACGGAGTCGGAGCAGGCGCAGGAGCCGGAGCCGGAACTAGATTCAGAGCCGGAGCCGGAGTTAGAGCTGGAGCCGGAGCCGGAGCCAGAGCCGGAGCCGGAGCCGGAGCCGGAGCGCCAGCCGCAGCTGCAGCAGCAACGGCTTCCCCGACGGCGGCCGCAACCGCGGGCGCAGCCACAACCCGTTGCCGAGTCGGAGCCGGAGCAGGAACCCGCACAAGGAGCGGACTTGCCGGTGGCGCCGGTACCCGACGGATTTGGTAAGTCAGCGTACGGAACTGGGGTTTCCTTAACCGTATTTACTAAACAGTATCACTGGTATTTCATTACCACAGCTAAGTATTTGATTACCATAGCTAGTAAGGCAGTTCTGCCATCGGATTTCACTAAGACATCTATTTGTATCGAAATAAATAATTATATTTTGGCATCAGGTGTCTTTATGCCTGTCCAGTTCTGTTTAGCATGTAGGAGGAACGTTAACACTGCTCGCTTTGTCTTGCAATGTTGCACATTCTGTTCTCTATCACCACGATACAAACACGACGAGCAGTCAAGAAGCACAGCACACGTTTTGGATTCTTCTCAGTTATTACTGCTGATACTGTTCATTGAAGGAAACAGGTTGATGACTGTTCATTAGTTATTTGGGGAACTTTGATCCAAAAATTTTCACATTTCAGAGCCAGCTCCGCTTGAGTCAGTGCCTTGCTGCTGTGGGGGATTTTACTCCACAGCAGACAGGATACGGGCCCATGCGAGATATCTAAAAAAGTCGGGATCGCCAGAAGAGGCGGAGTTTTTCGCCACCGCCCGCGACCTGCACCGCCACGGAGAATTCCGCCTCTTCGTGCACTCCGCTCCGGAAACGTATGTTTCATTTTAATTGTTCTCTCAACTATTCACATTTAATGTGTTGCAATTTTTGTCAGAAACAGCATATCAATTATTTCACTTTTAGTTAAACACGATCTTTTTATTGCTCAGGACAATGTATAAAATTCGTTTATAATTACATCACGTAAAACCTCCAAGGGGTTTACGCGTCTCTTAACCCTATTAGTGGCAGGCTCCTGGCTACCCCATATTAGTGGCAGGGGGGGGGGGGCTGTTTACGACCCCCCCTTGATATCTCGAGATCTAACCGGCCGATTTTCAAAATTCAAACGGCATTCGATTTGGCTCAACGAGATCTACATTTCTAAAAAAGAACAAAATTAAAAAATGTCAATAGGGGGGTAGAGGGGGGTAAAAACGGGCAAATTGCAGATACATTTTAGACTGTTTATCACGGCCAGGTTTCTGAACCAATCTTAACGCAACTTTTGCCGATCGATAGAGAATGAACCAGGTATTCACATGGATCCTAAAAATATGCATTTTCAAAAATCATAGGCGGATACAGATCATTGAGATTGGGGGTACACAAAAAGTATAGTAAATAAGTTTTTTTTGGTACTGTTTCTAAAAAGGGTGGCAATGGTCTTGTTATGTTACAATTTTCTTATGAGAGAACGACTAAAATTGTATTGGTCATGCATAGGCGGTGTCAGGGCACCTATGTTGGGAGGTAAAAAATAACCCCCCTTTTTGGACGCCTGGATCCGCCTATTATATCAAAAACGAGTCAAAAGAGGATGCACAATAACTTTGTATATGTTATCACATGATACCTTTCATTCACTGTTCGTAAAACTGGTGCAGCATCGTGATCTTCGCCCAAATGACTCGCTTCACGAATAGGACCCCCCAATTCCCAGTGCTCTGGAGCCGCCCCTGGTAAAGTTATGAACTTGAAATTTTCAGGGAATGTGCCCAATTTAGTTTTAGGAAAAGTCAGAAAATTTCAGCATCGTAGCTTCAGCGGTTTCGGAGATATTCCCGAAAAACCTGAGGGGTGGATAAAAACAACCCCCCCTGCCACTAATAGGGTTAACCCGCGCCCCGTAGGGCTACCGGCGGACCCTACCACCCGTAAGGGGGGGGCCGAAACGGCCCCCCCCCTAAGATCTCGGAAGTAGAGATGCCCTTTTTGAACCCGCAAACCCGCTTTCTGCGGGTTTTCAAAACCCGCAGGGTTTTTGGCGGGTTCGAGAAGCAAAACTTGTCGTGTGGCGGGTATTTGGCGGTCAGACTTTAGAACCTATAATTATTATTATTATTTTTTTTTAGATGCAAAACACAATGCCAAGTGCATTTGCTCAGGTTAACAATACAATACTCATCAAAACAACTTTTAAAACAGAACCAAATATAAAAATATATCAAGGAAGCAAATTTCAAATGCAAAACTGAAAACAACCATCAATAGCATCTACAGTCTAGCAATGACCAAACCAGGGTACAAACAACAAACTACAAAGCATAAATAAATGCTGATGAAAGCATTCCATAAAACATTAAAGAACCTGAAAGCAAACTTATAGGAAGCTGAACTGAAGTCTATGTGCAGCGTGCACTAGATATACATTATGGAAGAGCCCAGACTAAAATGAGATGTTATTGTTGATGTTGAAAATCAGAACAAATGCCACATGTTACTTTATTTGCGTCTGGTCGGCATAAAACAGAGCTAAAAAAAATTGATGCAAATTCATTGATTACCTATCCTACTCTATGTTCTGTCCCACCCTACATTACGAAAATAACACACCAATTACCTGCAATTGCCCTTACAAAAAATCAAAATATTGACTGGCATGCGGCCCAAACATAACGCAATACAATACTGGCGCACTTTCGACATTCTGACAAGGATTGGCATTTACTGCGTCAATTTTGGTCTCTGAAGCGAAGGAAAGCTGTCATTGATGACGCAATAATAATTTTACAATCAATTTTTCTGTCTTGGTTTTTGAATACCTCAAAATAGCAGTTATACATGTTACAAAACCACGTAGCTGGTCGCATTTATTTCTTTTGTCTTTTTACGTCCTTATCATTTGTATGCCGATTGCCGAGAGAGGATCAGCCGGAGAGCATTACCAAGACCAACTATAAAATTATTACATTTTATTTAGTATTTACTGTCTCTTTATTTCCTAACCGGTGATTAACCTCTGAATTGTAAAACTTTAGCTGTTGTGTAAAATAATATTATCAGAATGGCACATTAATATGCATTATACAACGGTGTTTTCGCAACAAGTTCGCACTAACTACGGCTGCAATAATTTAGTCGCTGTAACATTCCTTACAATCAGCTGTTGGTGACGCTTCTGACGCATGTTTCCAAAAATGCGTGGTTCATTGGTTAGTTGGTTTTTGCTGGGCTTTTGCATGATTTGTTTTATGTGTAGATCGACTGGATACGCATTATTCACCGTGTCACTATTTATTTTTAACTGGAAATCGCATATCTTTTTATATCAACATTCATTTTGATAACAGTATCATTCCAGAAGCCTAACATTGAGAGGAACCAGAGTGAAATTTTGATCCTCAGCCAATGCTGAAGGGTAAGGTGAGAGAAAGATTTTACTGAATTCTTTTCAGAAAGGAATTTCAAATGTATTGATGCATTATTCGTTTTCCATTATCCAGTGTGCACTTCCTGAGGACTTAGCATAGCAATTTCAAGTCCTTACTATTTGTTTGGCTGTCTTTTTCTGCACAACAATGAAGCAAGTAAGGTTTATATAGCTCTAGCATTGACCCAGCTGTATTTTTTCCTTGCAAAGGCAGGTTTTTAAAATTGCGGGTTTTTAGCGGGTTCGGCTCAGCCAAAATCAGCTTGCGGGTAGTTGTGGTTGGGCAAGGGGTAGCTGCGGGGCGGGGCGGGTAATGAAATTGCAAATTTGGTGCATCTCTACTCGGAAGTTTACCGGCCGATTTTTAAAATTCAAACGGCGTTCGATAGCCCCACCAAGGAACTACCTTGTGACGAAACTTCATTGACCTAGGTCAACCCGATGACGTCACAGGTCTGGTCAAAGTTCGGATTTTCACCGTTCACAGGCATTTCAAGAAATGTGTTGTGAAATCGGGTAAATTGGTAAGTTATTGAAAACCATCGATGGTACATTGTTCGTCAAACACATACTTCGCTATCTGAGGTCACTGATAACAGGTCAGGTCACAGAGGTCAGGTCACTGGGGGGTCACAATATGAAAGTGTCGTGTGATACATGTTTTATGGTCCATTTTACATGACAAATGCGATTATGTGGGTCAGGCAGCCTTTGGGGCCAGCTAAGGTCACGTTTTGGTGAAGGTCAGGTCAAGGTCAGGTCATAAAAGGTCAAATTTCAAAGTTGATATTTTTGCATAAAATGGGTATCGATTCGATGCATCTCGTCACGGGGAGTACAATGGTGGTCTTTGTTTTGTCCTACTTGGTCTAGAATTGCCAAAAATTGAGTTTGAAAATTTGACGTCATCATTTTTGAAGTTTTTTCGCTATAACTTGGCCAAAAAAACGAGATATCGATCTGAAATTTTGTATGTAGATAGAAGACGGCAAGTTCTATCACATATATTCCGGTTTTTTCGAAACTAAAAAAACTTTTTGGATTTTTTGGCTAATATAACCAAAAATCGCATTTTTTATTTTTGGGGGTCAAAACTCAAAAATTTCAAAAATCCGAGATAGCGGTTTTGTAGCCCTGTCAATTCTATACCTTTCATGTCTTACTCATTTTTCTGTATCTTGAAAGCTGTAGTCCTGAGAGCTCTTCTCGCGAAGGTCTTTTTTCGGTCAAAAATGGCAGAACATGACGTCATTTGTGGCCAACCTATCATAGCCTCTGGAAAAATTTTTGGTCACAATGTGTAAAATTGATGCCCAAAGGGGTCCTGAAAGTTTGGTGGCGATATCTCCAGCTGTTTAGGAGATATCGACGGAAAAGGACAGGGGGGGGCGTTTCGCCCCCCCCCTCCTACGGGGCGCGGGTTTTAAAAGTATTTGTACTTATTTCAGGTCGTCTGTCCCGCGTGTCCGGCCACCCGCGCCTTTGGCGTGGGGGAGCGCGGGAGGGACAACTTTAGGTATCACCTGAAGACGTTCCACCGCAGCTCCGAAGCGCCGGACTTGCGCCAACGGGATCGCGCAGCACGAACACTGGTGAGTGCAAAGCTTGCATCGTCTTCGCTGTTGTCCACTAATTGAATGAATGTTGTCGCTGAATGGGTGGGATTGGTGCGATGCTCTCTCTATTTCAACTTGAGTCGTTAACAATATAGTGACAATATAACAAATATAAAGGCGACGGAATGACATCCGCGACCGAAAAACGTTGTCGTTTTGAAATAAGCAAATGAGCCGCAATTATGACAAGATGAATTTCAATAATTTCTCTTTTATTCCAGTGCATCCGCGCTACGTCAGAACGGGCGGCCCAGCGCTTAAGAGCGCCGCTGCTTCCGGAGGCCGCAGAGCCCGTGCTGGTGTGTAAATATGCTGACAACACTCGTATATAATGCATGCACTATACTCAAATAAATATTCCGATGAAAATTCTAACTCTGTATGTCGGTTTGCTGCCTAAGCTGTCATTAACTAACGATGATTCCCCTGGCTCTGTCACTAACGTTGTAAATGCGTGTACGTGCCTTCGCCAGTCGGCAATCCGCCGCCGGGAGCGCGCCGCCCAGCTGCAGGAGGAGGAGGCCCTCCTGCCCGGGGAGGCGCACCCGGAGCGGGTGCTCCAGGCCTCCATCCGCCTGGATGGGCCTGACCACCCCCTATTTTCCCATCACGGAGAGGTAAGCTAACCTAACGTTGCTAAGTTTACTGGAGTGCTGGGACTGGTGAACCTACTTGTTGGACGTCCTGCGTTCAAGCCTTTGCAAATTTGCTAATTCATTGGATAATCTTAGAGCTGCAGGGAGCTAGGTTTGGATGTCTGAAATTCGGCTGTTTGACGGAATTCGGATTGGCCTGCAGTACACCGAGACCAGCCGTTACTGGGCTCTGGCGCTGGCCCAGATCCTGGACCTGGCGCAGCTGCCGGCCGACATGGACTGGCGATCCATCGTGCTCGACAGTGCCAGCCTCGCCAGGGTCAGTTCAGATTATCATTTATAAACTATGTATTTGTGCTAGGAGGGTTAAACCTCTGGCAGGCGGGGAGGGGGGAGCGGTCGATGTGAGCCCCCACCATTAAAGTTTTTTTTTCAAAGATAGCTTAAATATGGCAAGGCGCAGCGCCGCCAAATTTGACACAGCCTATTGGGCAACGTTTTTACATATGACCTGAAAATTTCAGGTCCGGGTGGCCTTGGGTCAGGACACCAGGTCAGAAAAACCGGTACACGGTCATGGTCAAATTCCAATTTTCGTTATGCACCTATCCAACTCAGAGTTTTTGACTGATTTCCTTCAAACTTTTAGGATGTGTTAAGTTCACGGATTTGTATAACGTTTAATTCGGATTTTGATGTCACTGACCTTAGGTCAGTTAGAGGTCAATACGTTGTAATGTCAAGCCTATTGGAAATATTCAAATGACTAATTCAGAAAATATGCTTTGTTTTATCACTTAGCAGTTGCACAAATAAGTGCTCCCTGCTGGGATAGAATGGCTTCGTCTGACATGCCTTGACCAATGGCAGGGTGTGTACTCAGCATGCGGAGTTGTTAACGTTAGATATTGTTAGATACTACCTCCCTAATGTGCCGTAGGCAGATCATGGACGTGGTCAGCGCCACGCTGAAACGCCAGCCCCAGAACGGCGCCAAATTTCGGAAGGCGCTTACTCACTTTTGCACCCGCGTCAAGGAGGGCGCGTGGCGCCTTCGGTGCAAAAGTGTTGTAAGCGCCTTCACGGAGTTTAACGACGGCCTGCTGGGCCTATCGAGGCGCCATCGCAGAGGTAAGGGTCGTCTATCGATTAACTGACACATTTAAATACGTTTCCAATTGTTTACTGCATGTTTGAATATTCTTGCATAGCCTGTTGGTCTTTAGCTAATACGTTTGAATGTCTTCGATTAAGAAAAATGAGTAAAAATATATAGGTGATATTGTTATAGCTTGTTCGGCTGATAAATATATGTCCGTGATGATCAGCCACCCGTTTACCAGTGACGATCATGCACCGTCTATTTGGTCACTCCAACGTTGAGTTGCATGCTTGTTCTAACTCTAATATCTCTTACATTCAGAGCTCCATCTGAGCAAAGCCGCCCGCGAGGCCCGCAAACAGGAGACCACCATGTCTGTGGAAGACCGACGGGAGATCCAGCGCATCTCGGAGGCCTATCTCTCGTCGGTCCTCGCACAGCCGCCCGTCGTGCCCACTCGAGCGCTAGCGATCCAGTTCCGGGAGTAAGTTATTCATTCATTCGTCTGTATACACCTTGTAAAATGACCTAAAAAAGGCTAGTTCCATGCTGACTGCACGAAGGGAGAACAGTAGGTGCCCGTGGCAGTGCAGACTACGAGTGATGGATTTATGACTGAAATGATAACTAAAATAAAGGTTCAGGAACAATGCCGTATTGCCAGACAGAAATAACATTGTTGAGATCAGTTATGTATCAACAGTTTTACGGAGAATAGGAAAGGTGACGGAAATAAACTTTGATTAATTGATCTGCATAACAAGTTCGGTTATTGCGGGACAGCCTAACTTCAGGCGCTCGTCACCTGCGCCATCTATGGAGAAGTCTACGAAACAGAAGTACGCCTTACCTGAGTTATGCGTTAGAGCTGAATCTCTCTTTGGTCTTATCCCAATTTCCTTATCGTTTTTGTATCACCTTCAACCCACTATTTGCTCTAGCCAATTGCTCTACGAGTTTTTCGAATGGATGCAAATGCGATTTGAGTTTGCTTGTTTGTATTTGTTGTTGCGTGCTGATGTGTCACGAACTAAGGCCGCCACCACTAGGTCAGCTGGATTAGCTGGGTGACAGCTCTGATCGGCACAAGCGGCGTGGCGCAGTTTTGAGAGACCGAGCTGGGTCCTTTTTTGTCGACATTTTTGTGGCCAAATTGACGGGCAAGATTTAGTGAGTGACTGTATTGCACTGATGTCATGTTTAGTTACCCTCGTATGTCATGAAAATTGAAATGTCACTATCAGACTATCAGTGATGTAGAAACTTACTTTCTATGTGCTTTGTGAAGGTCAGGCATTGGATCTGATGGATGCTTTCCCCCACCCAAACATGTCCGTGCATATATCAGATTTGGTAATTGCATGTTACTTTCGCAGTAACCGATTGGCTGACGATATGTCAAGATAACTGGTCGATGAGCCACTGAACGATGAGTCAGCTGAATACAAAGGAAGATTTTAAGCATGAATTTTGCTGATTCCATTACGGGCAAATCACAGTTAAGTGGCCACAACATTTGTTTTTGTTTCGTTGGGTTAGCCCCTTCCGGTCTGACAAGGCCATTTCAGAGCCGGAAGGATGATAGGAATAAGGGGGAGACATTGGTTTGGGCAGGCACCCTAGAGAGTCACCGGGGCTGAGCCTATCCCGAAGTTCAAGCCGACCAGCCCCCCCCCCCCCCAAGTACTCGCTACACCCGGCCACAGGTGCTCTCCCTCGGGGGCAGCGGTGCCGCTCCAAGGGAGCAAGCAGCCCACATGAGATAAAGGTGCCTGGAAGCATGCTTTAACCCTCGCCCGTATTGGTGTTTTCCCAGCCGCGAACGTATAAGGGGGGGGGGGGTCCGTTGGACCCCCCCCCCTTGCCGTTTCGCCCCTGATTGAGCTAGAGCTTCGCGGAAAAAACGAGCGTGTTGCCCGTGACGAGAGGAAGCCGATGATATCCAATTTTAAGGTCCTAGGTCATTGGTTGACCTTGCAGGTCAGGTCAATGACCCCAAAGGCGGGAAAATCGGGACCTGTTATTACGTCGTAAAATGTGGCTGGTAAGGGGTTTTTCGGGGTGCTGATCACGAATATCATATTAGTTTTGATCTCAGATGATGTCTTCATGTATTTAGGCCAGGTCGGGTCAGGTCAGGTCAGGTCAACCAGTAAGGGTACTCGTAGTAGGTGGCAACCGCCTCTGACAGCTTCGTAACATCTTACGAAGGCACCAAAACTACTTCGTAAATGTTCATATGGCTGCTAAATTCGAATTAAGCTCCAAAAACTGGCCTAGAAACATGTAAAACTCGAAAAAGTGAACCGAGGTCATCAAAGGTCAATGACCTGACCTGACCTTCAGGTGACCTTGACACCCACCCTAATGCATGGGGGCAACATCATATCACATGTTTGAACGCTTGAAGCCACGAAAAGACTGCAAACGCGCGGCTAATGCGAGCCGACATACGCCGAATCGCGATTCCGGCCAAACATGGTCTCGAAAAGTAGGTCACAGGTCAAAGGTCATTTGGGTCAGGGTCATGAAATTTTCAGGGTAGGTGTGAAATTGATTAATTCGAGGGTACTGAAAGTTTCGTCGCGATCGGCCGCTTTTTACGCGAGTTATTCGCGAAAAACCATGGGGGGGTCCGTTCGACCCCCCCCCCCCTATACGGGCGAGGGTTAACATGCTTCCAGGTTGAATTCAAATGAGGGCAGGCGGCCAACCACACATAAAGTGATTCATATGAACGATAAATAATACGCAAATAATGAATAATCGTGAGCTCCCTACTTTCTAGTGGTTTTCTGATGGAGAGTCAGACGTCAATGACGTCAGACAGCCTGACAAATGACCAAACATCTGACTGGAATCACAGGTCAGGTAGGCCAAATTTCAGCTATCCAGCTCAAACGGATTCCGAGCAATCGGAAAACGGTTTCAAGAGGTGGCACGAACCCCGTACCTTGGACGGCGAGGGCTAAGGAGGCTGTCCAGAGTCGGAGTCGGAGTCACGGAGAATCCACCGACTCGGCGGCGCTGGGCTGAGGGCCGTCACTCCGGTCTACACTGGAGGACGCCTGCAGCGTCGCTGGACCGAGCTGTGAGCCGGTGCGTACGATGTGCTCGATGGTGCTGCCATGTAGCGGCGGAATGAACAGGTCAGCTGTGACCAGAGGGCGCCTCGGTCGGGTTACAGCGCTGATATAGCGATCCGACAGGCAGGACAGAATAGAGGGAACATCAGGAATACGATTGATCAATGACTGTAAAACGGTACACCCAGGTGAATATATACGGCCGAGCATGACAAATGACTCCAGATCAGAGAATAGGTCTCGATACAACATTACGGAAGAAAATGGCACTTGTGACTTCCACAGCGATAATCAAACCTCCGCTTCTATCCCCAACTTCTTACCTTTGCTAGCTTGGCCTTGTGGCGGGATCACCCTCTGGCAGGGCAGCGGCTGAAGGCCCCTCTCCGACTCTACCCGGCGCCACACCAGCACTCCACCACTGTGACGGAAGGCAGCACGGTTGGAGCGGTAGCACGCGGTTGGACGGGGCAACACAGAGGGACTGAACGGACGGGCGCCTTGCTGAGGTCGTCCACACGGTAGCGCGTGCTGTAGTAGCGTCACTGAGACTAGTATCAGGTAGTCCAATCAGGTAGGTAGATTCAGGGCAGACATGTCCATGGATCCGAGTGATGGATCTATGATCTCAGTGGATCTCGAAGCAAAGTACGGGTGGGGATCTATGATCCCACCGGATTCGGCGTGAAAAATACATCTTGGATCTATGATCTCATATGATCTGACGATAAATCAAGAACATGGATCTATGATCTGAGTGGTACTCGTCATGTACCACATTTGAAACCATGTTGTAAAGGGTTTTTATGTCAATAAGTGACACAAAA